TATATCAGTCAGTAATATATCAAACTTCTGTCCCTATTCCTTGTATGTGGTTCGTTTTTACTGGTTGTTAATTTATCAATAATTTGTTAAGTCCTAAAACACTTAAAGGTCTGTAGGTGCTTAGTTAGAGTTCAAGAAATTAGATGAACTTTTGCATCGTTGTAGTTCGATATTAGACTTTAACTAAGTTATGTATTACACAGTAAGAAGGTGCGAGAATTGACACATTCTGTTATAATTTTAAGGCCTTCATATTATAATATACTACAATACATTTTCACAGGAACTACTATGATGTGCTTTTCGAGCTCTCTCCCCTATTCTTAATACCAGCCAAATCTACGTTTTTAATCAATAATATCGGAGAACAATTGGTGAATGTCGTTAGCGTGTCTTACCGATACACTTTGGATCAGAACTTGACCAACGTCCGTCAAATCGACAGAAGCGAGTTGATGGTCCAATCAAAATCTTTCCTTCTTCGCATCCGAATATCACCATCTTGCCCACACCAAAGTCGTCACCAATTTTGTAGCCAGCTGTTGGGGTTGGTGGACTAGAACAGTTTATGATATCTGAAAGGATTATTGAGATCCTCATCTTAATTCGACGAAATATACCACCAAAACAAGCATGAATCCTCGCCTTTATAACAATAAATATACCACCAAAACAAGCATGAATCCTCGCCTTTATAACACTAAATATACCACCAAAACAAGCATTAATCCTCACCTTCACACGACTAAATATACCACCAAAACAAGCATTAATCCTCACCTTCACACGACTAAATATACCACCATATAGGCGTTGTTTCCCTTCTTGTATTCAAACAGCATTACATATCGAATGTGTGTCTCGTCGTGTGCCATCACTATAGGGGATTAGAGTATACTAAACTTTACACGTTATATAGGCTACACTAATGTGACGTTCAGGCGGTTCGTTTCTACGTTGTTTTTTTTTGGGGGGGGGGGTAATGAATGTGTTCCAAAACGCTACATTAATTTCTTGACGACCTAATACTAAATCGTACGAGTTACATTTACCGGCCATATGATAATATACTTCCCTTCAGTTCACATGTCCACTTTCCCGCTGCTTTAGAACAGGTAAAGTTGCACCTTATGAACGAGTATCTCATTAATACGTTAAACTGTCGTTGGTTTTATCATGATTTATAATCTTAGTACAATAATAAACCGTAATTAATACTAGAAACACAGAAATTAAATAAACCCTAATGTCTTGGATATCGTTTTTATCAAGTTGTCTGATTCCCAGCTGTAGTAAAATATTGTCAGAGGAAATTATCCAATAATTTTGAAATTCAGTGCTGATGTCAAAGTTCAAATTCAGGACCATATCTTTTGTAAAAAGAGAAAATAATTTTAAAGGAAATTTTGACCATACTTAAAATAAAATACCCAATTTCTTTTTCTGGAATATTCCAAGTTCGAGAAGCTGTTGTTATAACTATTTTCCTACTGTTTTCTTCACTTACTTTCAACTGTCTAAAAGAAATAGCCTGTAAATCTCACCTGAATGTTAACATAGATTATTTGTCCAATTTTATTACTACAATAAAAATCTCGCTTACCACACTGGTAAAGTTTATTCAGTTTCATGATGTCCAAATCGCTCATCTTCTCACGCTGACCAACAATGTCCCAAGCAGTGTGTGTCAAAGGGATGAGGGACAGCTTATTTTTATCATAGGCAAAGGCTCGAGTCCCGTAGTGCATTATTGACCCGTAGTCATAGTTCGTGTCCAGCAAGTCCACTGTAACTTCTGGTCGTTTGATGAAGTTTCCTTTTTAACTGAAGATGAATGAGAACAATATATGTAAACATGGACATCACAATTTAATAACATTGGTCTGAGCTTACTGAAGATGAATGAGAACAATAATTGTAAACATAGACATCAGAATCTAATAACATTGGTCTGAGCTTACTGAAGATGAATGAGAACAATAATTGTAAACATGGACATCACAATTTAATAACATTGGTCTGAGCTTACTGAAGATGAATGAGAACAATAATTGTAAACATGGATATCACAATTTAATAACATTGGTCTGAGCTTACTGAAGATGAATGAGAACAATAATTGTAAACATGGACATCAGAATTTAATAACATTGATCTGAGCTTACTGAAGATGAATGAGAACAATAATTGTAAACATAGAAATCAGAATCTAATAACATTGGTCTGAGCTTACTGAAGATGAATGAGAACAATAATTGTAAACATGGACATCAGAATCTAATAACATTGGTCTGAGCTTACTGAAGATGAATGAGAACAATAATTGTAAACATGGATATCACAATTTAATAACATTGGTCTGAGCTTACTGAAGAAGAATGAGAACAATAATTGTAAACATGGACATCAGAATTTAATAACATTGGTCTGAGCTTACTGAAGATGAATGAGAACAATAAATGTAAACATAGACATCACAATTGAATAACATTGGTCTGAGCTTACTGAAGATGAATGAGAACAATAATTGTAAACATAGACATCAGAATCTAATAACATTGGTCTGAGCTTACTGAAGATGAATGAGAACAATAATTGTAAACATGGACATCAGAATTTAATAATATTGGTCTGAGCTTACTGAAGATGAATGAGAAAAATAAATGTAAACATGGACATCACAATTTAATAACATTGGTCCTGATCTTACTGAAGATGAATGAGAATAATAAATGTAAACATGGACATCACAATTTAATAACATTGGTCTGAGTTTACTTCCAGCCGTGGGTGCGTTATAATGTGACGCTCAATCCCACTATTCGTTGGTAAAAGAGTAGCCCAAGAGCTGGTGGTGGGTGGTGATGACTAGCTGCCTTCCCTCTAGTATTTCACTGCTAAATTAGGGACGGCTAACGCGGATAGCCCTCGTGTAGCTTTGCGCGAAATTCAAAAACAAACAAACAAACAAACAATCTTTCATACAAAAATTCAAGACGGAAACATTAGGTCTTTAAAGTAAATATTACGTCACTTCCCATAAAATATTTCCCAGAATAAAAATAAAGTTCTTGCTACTCTGGAAAGTTCAAGACAAATCTTGGAAGTTTTGATGAAAACAATTTTTTTTTTTAAATCCGAACTTTAGTAGGAATTTTGATATATTAACAATTAGCGACTTTAAAGGAAAAAAAAATTTGGAGATCCAATAGTTTTCCATAGAAGAACATCAAAATCTATGATACACAGTTTTTTTTTTTCCCCAAATCATGGGGTATTTTTACGATTTTTTTTAAATATCGAGAATAGTTTATATTTTCAGCAATAACGTCTAATTTCAGATGGCTTAAAATTCCGTGAAAAACAACAAAATTTAGAGACTTAAAGTTTAATCAAAACTATACATCTTTCCTTAGAAAATAGAATAAACGAAAGGAAAGAAATGAATAAAAGTTCTATATGACAAATTTGGTAAAAAAATCATATTGACAATTTCTAAAAGTGCAAGAGTAAAGCAAAACTGAACATTGGCTTAAAAAATTACAATTTTCACACTAAAATTATATTTCTAAAAGCCTATATTGAGTGCATAATTTATCTTCAAGTAAACAAAAACTTCTAATAAAAACATTATGTCCAAAATACAAAGGCTATAGATATTGTCACAAAAACAAACATTTTTTAAATGCGAACAGCCCATGTTCTTTCAAAATTTTCAAAAAGTTTAATTTTCCTCATATTTTAACACAATGATGTCTTTGATGTAAGACTTTCAAAATGGATATCCTTTCATCAAAATTTCCAATATTTATTCCATAATCTGTTATGAAATTTTTCTATAGCTTCGATTTTAGTATATTATTTCTTAAGATCACGAAAGCAAAATAAGAGCTTTAAAAATAAGATTATCCAACCAAACTCCCAACATCTAAACGGTCACGACGTCTTCTTACAAAATAAACTCCACTTTTTCCGATTGTTTATTACTCTGGGTTAGTGAAAGTTCTAATTTTGTTAACTTTTCACAGGACATCATATTTTTCGTTAATGCTATAATATCTCACTTTTGAGTTTTCTGACGAAATTACCACTACCCCATATTTTTCTATTCATCTTGACTTTAAAAAGCACTTTTTTCTATGTTTCAATAAATTCGTATTTTCACCGAAACAACAAAGGCTATAGCCCATGTTTTTCCCATAATTTTGAAAAAATTTGATTTTCCTCATATTTTAACACAATGATGTCTTTGATGTAAGACTTTCGAAAGCGATATCCTCTCATTAAATTCCCAATATTTATTCCATAATCTGTTATCAAATTTTTCTATAGCTTCCATTTTACTATATTATTTCTT